ATATATGACATTTGAGGGCACATCAACTCAAAAGAAGAAAATTGATATCACATACTATGGGGTTTTGGTAATTAGCTTTGTTTTGTTTAGAAAAACCCACCAATTCGGCAACCCCTCAGCCCGCCATTTTGAAATTTGGAGTGCTGAATTTTGTATCAAAAAAAACTTACACACCTTAGTTTTTATCTTATTTGTTACTTTTTCGAATTTTAATTTTTGCTCATACAGGGTGGTCAAAAACGCAAGTTGTAGTTTTTCTCAAAAATTTCAAATGCATCACCCTGTATATTTGTGCAAGTTTGGATTCAAATTTTTATGAGCCTTTTTTTTGATACTAGACACATAAGGGTTTTACGGCTAATTTTTAGGTTATAGCACGTCTTTTATGAAACGGCTTAATTCCATAAAATATCGCATCATCCTTGAAAACAAATAAATTGTTGATTAGTTACAAACTGTAAAAATTAGCTTTGTGAGCATTATAATGCAAACGTGTTTGAAGTCGAATTTTTCTAAAGAAGAAATGGTGAATATGGTGTGCGTTTTGGGCGAAGCCCAAAGAAATAGTTTCCTAGCATCTCGAATTTATAAGCAACGGTACCCTAATATGCGACATCCAAGGCAGGAAACATTTTCCACTCTACGAGAACGTTTTGAATCAAGTGGAGCAGTGGAATATATTAAAAAGTGTATAAATAAAGTGTCACCAATGAAGCGAATCAGTTAAGGTTCTATTAAAGTTGAAGGAAAATCCCCGTTTAAGTGCACGCCAATTTCTAGCAGAAGCTGGTATATGCAGAACTTCTTCTTTAGTAGAATAATGCTGATTAAAGTGAGTGAAGACACTACTTTCCTGGATAAGGCTCTTTTTAGCGATGAGGTAACTTTTAACAGCATATGTGTTGTCAACAGGCATAACATGCTCTATCATGCGATGGAAAACCATTACTGGGTTAGGCAAATAGATCTCCAAAATAAATGGAGCTTGAATGTTTGGGGAGGAGTTACTGGCAGACAAGTTATCGGGCCTTTCTTTTTCGACAACAGATTAACAGGTACAGAACACTTGAATTTTTTAATCGAGCATTTGCCTTTGCTTTTGGAGGATGTCAACCTGCAAACTCGGATGCATATGTACTTCCAACATGACGGCGCACCTGCGCATTATCATAATCGTGTGCGTAACTATTTGGACAACTGGAGAAACAATCGTTGGATCGGTCGTGATGGGTCTATATCTTGGCCTCCTACATCGCCAGATATGACACCGATGGACTTATTTCTATGGGGCTAGGTTAAGCAAGAGGTTTATAGATATAGGTTTATAGATATCCACCCCGGAAAATATGAAGGAATTGATTAAGGATGCTTTTCTGAACATAAGGGAACACATGCTGAGGGATGTGCAACGGTCATTTATCCAAAGACTACAGCTGTGTATTCAACATGGTGGAGATATATTCGAGCAGTTTTTGTAGATTAGGTCTTGAGTAGTGATAGTTGTTTGTTTATGTTGTTGTTGTGGTTGTTTTTCTTTATTACGCTTGAAGCTGATCTATACTGTTCTGATTGTTATTAGTTTTTACGTCAAATCTGTACTCTTAGTGGCAATATGGAACTAGCCCACTGTTTGCCTTTGTTTCCATGGATGATGTGATTTTTTTCCTTAATGTTGGAGTGTTGTTCTATTAAAAGCTTAATAACTCAAAATCTAGTGATTTTATCTGAATCAAACCTTATACCAAAAAAAAAAAGCTTATAAAAAAATTGTTTTTTTTATACTCCAACTACCACGAAGGCCTAAGGCCTAAACACCCATTGGGTACCGTGGGGCTATAGGGGGATACAGGAGAAAGGGGGAACGCCATACGGACTCTGGCGAGAGAACAAGTGTGCATGCAACATGCACACATTCTGGCTCCGCCTACGAGATCCGCCGGGTGGTACCTCCACGTTCAACAGTCAGAGACCGAGAGAGAAAAATTTCTCCTGGGACGGGACTCGAACCCGCACAGCGCACGGCGACTGATCAGGAGACCGAAGAGTCTACTACTGCGGCTACCGCTGCTGCCTCCAAACTTGCACAAATATACGGGGTGATGCATTTGAATTTTTTGAGAAAAAGTACAATTCGCGTTTTTGACCACCCTGTATGAGCAAAAATGAAAATTCGAAAAAGTAACAAATAAGATAAAAGCTGATGTGTAAGTTTTTTTTATACAAAATTCAGCACTCCAAATTTCAAAATGGCAGATTGAGGGGTTGCCGAAGTGGACAGTTTTCCTGGACAAACCACCTTACATCTCAGCAGCTAATTACCAAAACCCCATAGTTTGTGATATCAATCTTCTTCTTTTGAATTGGTTTATTCAAATATACAATAAAAGTTGAAGCATTCCATTTAAAAAATCACAACTTTGATATGTAAGTCAAAATTTTGACACCCTGTATAATTGCCAATATTTTAGAAATGTGCCCTCAAATGTCATGTATAACAGATTTTCCCAAAATGTATTTGTTTATCAGTAATATTCCGTCCACACATGGATGGGCCACCCTATATACTCGTATATATACAGGGTGTCCGCAAAGTTGGGGTTTTCCTTTACACGACGTGTAGATCTTGAAAACACGAGCAATTTTTCTTAGTACCATATATACCAATGTCTTAAGGGAACAGAGATAAAGGGCTCTGCAACATCAAAAATATCTGAATACCGTCCTGTAGCCGCGACATCCCCGAGTGGTACTAGGACACTAGCTCAACACGACGTCAGAACTGGGTCGGGGTCAGTGTGTCAGGTCAGTATGCAACCTTCAACCGACGGTTACGGTCACGCGTGTAGAGGTAAACGAACCCGTATAATCGATTGCGTTTCAAAAAACAACAAGCACTAGAGACGTGGCTAGAAAAGTGCAAGTATCAAAAACTAAAGTGTGGCAAACGCTGCGTGAAGAGGGGCTGATATATCCGTTTCACGTCCAACGTGTACAAGCCCTTCAACCTGACGATTTTCCAGCAAGAGTGCGGTTTTGTGAGTGGTTGTTGCATCAACATGACAATAATCCGGACTTTTTGAAGTGCATATTGGTGACAGACGAATCTACGTTCATGCGTAATGGGGTGAATAACTTTCGCAACACTCATGTTTGGTCAGTAGAAAATCCGCACGCTGTCCGTCGGGCACATTTTCAACAAACATTTTAGGTGAATGTTTGGGCTGGCATGATGAACGGTATGCTCATTGGACCATTTATTCTCCCAAATCGATTGGACGGGATGCAACATTTTGCCTTCCTTGTTTGCCTGCGTCTGCTCGGTAGCGCATCAGCTGATTTCATTTTCTGTTGGAGCGGTATTATTTCGGGCAGAGACGTACTTAGCCCTTCTCGTCAACTGGAGAGTGAGTACTTTTTCCTTTATTTTTTTTACTTGGTCGCCCTCGTTTCACTACACATTACCTTTGTTATTTCAAGGGTAGTTGTTTCTGAAAAGGAAAACCCCAACTTTGCGGACACCTTGTATATATATAATATAGCATTCCATTGAGAAAAAGGAATATTTTATATGTGGGTCAAAATTTTGGCACCATATATAATTGTGCATATTTTAGAAATGCCCCCAGATACCATGTATAATAAGCCATAAATAGTTTTCTTCGAAAAGTTTTTGTATAGGAGCATTATTCGATACCCTGGGACACCCTATGTATAAATCAATTTAAACAGTGTAATTTAGTTAGGGTGTCTCACATGTAAAAATTGCTTGTTGTATTTTATTACTATAATACCACATTTATTCTTATATGTATATTTTGAATTGCCGTAAACATTCTGTAAAATTATGAAATGAGCTATTAATCTATCTATCTACGAGTATCTAGCTATTAATTCATCCATCTATCTATAGTTTATCCTAATGACGTTACCAATCTAACAGTACTTACCAAAATTTTGTAATCATCCTTCGGTATGCATTTAAGAACAACGTTATACTTGCTATCTGGAGATCCAACTGCAAGAAATAAAAAATGGCGTCAAGTTCCTAAAGAATTATGCTCAGCACAAACTAGACCCTCTGAGAAAAAATGCAGTAAAACAGGTTGATACAATTAGCCCATAGACATTCTTTTCCTGCCCTATCTGAAAACGTCTCCTCTTTCCAGTCAGACGTGGCAGCGCGGTCAGAGCAGAGGAAACATTATGCTGTGGCGCAAAAATACGTGTGATACCATACCAGAACAACAGAAAGGCACGTCTAGGCATCGAAAAAATGCGATGACCGATGTCTGGTTGTGTCACCTGATTCCAAGCAACTCGAACTTCGTGGATTAGCTGTGGTGTCTCCTCCCCATCATCCAACACATGTTCGATGAGATTTAAATAATCCGTTGAACGGGGTGGCCACGGAAAAACATTAACGGCTACTTCTTGAGGAAAGTCCGTAGAACCACAAGCAATATAGGGACGTGTGTTGTCTTGCTGAAAAAGCACGTGCGGACGGCCCTCTAGATACGGCAGTAAGGTGATTTGTAGAACATTATCAACATAACGCGCAGCTAAGATATTGCTTTGAACAAAGAAAAGGTGGTGATCGGCTACCCTAAGCAATAGCCCCCCAAACCATTACTCTAACAGTCCTGTGTACATGCCTCTCAACAGCAAATTCAATATTACCCCGTTCTCCACCTTCTACGACCATGGTGCGTACCTAGACAGAATCGCGATCCGTCGCTGAAGGTGACATTATACCATTCTGCCTCCCAATGTTGCCGTTCTCTGCTCCAGTTTAAACGTTGACGACAGTGGTTCGCAGTCAGAGGAAGCACTCACCGTGGACGGTATGAAAAAAGTCGAAAGGCTCGAATGCGGCGATATAGGTGTGTATAGTAACAGGTCTACCTTCTTCTCCAAACCATTAGTCAGCGATCTCACGCTTAGTAGCAAAACGGTCTCATAGGGCTAGTTGTCTGAAGCGCGTATCTTGACGCTCTTTGGTACGCGTCCGTGGATCAGTTGGCCTTCTTCGTGTTCGTCTACCTTCTTCTGCTATCCACACACGACATACACGTATCACTGTCATTGCAGTCCAATTAGGGCCCCCGCAGACTGCAGACTTTCTATCGGCCGATAGTTTAGTCGGGTTGGGCTGCCAGTGCGCACGCCGAGCCAACTAAACAGTTTGGTTGGTGGAGAGTGCGCATACTAGCCAACAGTCGGCCGATGATTCTTAAGCTATTTACGATTCACTAGTTTGTATCTGACTGTTGAAGTAGCTGTCGCACAATGAAAGTAAATACAATATTGTCCAGAAATGTTATTATTGCTCTGATACAACGTAGGAGGAAAATCAAGAAAAGATTCCGAGAGTACTGGGTGCATCCCATTCTCAGTGATAGATTAGTTGCTGGAAAATTTTACACAATGCATTCCAAATTACTGGATTATCCGAGAAAATTTTTTGCCTTTTATCGAATGAGCATAACCAGCTTCAATGAACTTGTCAAGCTAATTGGACCAGCAATAGCGAAGGAGGATACAAATTTAAGGCTTTCTATACCTGTGGAGCAGAGATTGAGCGTTACGATAAGGTAAGATAAACCACAAATACTTTTCAATTATTTTTATTAGAATGCAAACTACAAAATTCGGTATTTTGATAGATTAAGTTGTTTACAGATCGTATATTTGCGAATTAGTTGAAAAATTTGAATAATAAGACTGGACTGTCTCGTTGGAGTTGCCTGGTGATGAAATGTTTTGAATGGTTGTGGGTGGCAAATTGGGGGATGGTGTAGACCTAGTTGTATAAGCCTGTGATTGTTGTTGTGGTGGCATGTTGTTAGTCCCTCGATAAAGAGGAAAAGAGGACATAGGTTGCTGTACTGTGTTGTACCTATATGTTGGCTGAGTAGATTGAACACACCTAGCTAGTCTTATCTGTTTAAACACGTTCAGAATACCTATTTTAGCATCCAGTTTTTCTTCTGCGGTTAAATTTTGGAGTGAAGGGACTAGAGACAAAGCAAAGTTTACATCTTCATCAGCATTAGTCGCATTTAATGATTTTAATAATGCTTCATCCAAGTCCGTATGCTTCGATACATTAGGCCTCTTCTTCCGCTGACGAATAGGGGTGGAAGCAGATGGTCCAGCTTGCTCATCATCCTCATCATTTTCTTGAGAATTGTCCTCCTCCAGATTACATTCAGTACGTCGGTTTTCCATGCATGGGAGTAAAAATAATAACTGTTCAAAGTAGACATATTTACGCCTCTTGGTCGCAGCTTGTCCCGATTTAGTGTTTTTTTGTGCATTTAATTCTCGACGAAAGCAAGTCCTTAAATTAGCCCATTTTTTTTGCACCTCGCGACCTGAAAAATATTGGAATATCATTAATTTATAATTTATTTCTTTACAGATATCTGGCTACTGGAGCTAGTTTCAATACATTATCTTTTGATTATCTGATGGGAGCTTCTACAATACGAGACATTACTAAAACTACATGTGAGCAAATATGGAATGTGCTTCAACCATTGTATATGCCAATCAAATAAGAAGGCGACTGGATTAAAATCGCAGACGAATTCTATAGTCGCACAAATTTTCCAAACATCATTGGAGCGATAGATGGCAAACATATACGGATGATACAGCCAGAACATTCCGGTTCGTCATATTTTAACTACAAAAAGTTCTTTTCTTGCGTGTTAATGGCTTGGACAGACGCAGATTATAAATTTGTATACATTGACGTTGGTTCTTATGGAACAGCTAGCGATTCGGAAATATTAAAAAGATCAGAAATGGGTAAACGGCTTTCTGAAAATCGATTATATATTCTCTCCGGAAGGCATTTGCCTAATGATGATGTGGGGGATGTTATTCCATTCTCTGTCGTAGGGGATGAGGCGTTTGGACTTGGGAATCACCTATTACGTCCACATGCAAAAAGAAATTTAAACTACACCAAACGAATTTTCAACTATAGACATACAAGAGCTCGACGATTGGTTGAGTGTACATTTGGGATTCTCGCTAACAAATGGCGTATTTTTCACCGACCAATAGATGTCAATATCACTTTTTGTGTCCGAATTATTAAAGCTTGCTGTGTCCTGCATAATTATGTAAGAATCAAAGATGGACTAAATTTTACAGAAACTCTCTACAGCTGTCCCATGGATAACTTGACTATAAATGAAAACAACCGAGGAAAAAATAATATGAATAACGTGCGACAGTACATGTCGTCATATTTTATTTCTCCTGGAGGCGCAATTCCGTGTCAATATAACAAAGTGTAATAATGTAGTAATTAATGTAATAATAAATGTAATAAGTATTCAGCTACACCTACGTACATAAATAAAAATTCACATGAAGCGTTACGTACCTTTGTTCTGTCCTCGGCATTAAGGTGATTCCAACCAAGAACAACTGCTTCACAAACTTCCTCCCACAATTTTTTCTTGAGATTTGCGTCGGAGTACTCTTTTAAAGTTTTTTTATAAAGCGCAGGTCTTTTCTCGACTTCTTCAATCAACTGTACGATGGACGTACGATTGTGAATTTGGCGATGCCATATTAAAAATATACGTACGAAACGACTGTCCAACGCCAATGGCCGGAGCGAACTGAGCCATCGGCCGATTGAACAATCGTCGTGTGTGCGCACGTGGAAGTAAGCCAATACTGATTAAGCAGTCGGCCGACAGTTGGCCGACAGATCAGTTTGAAGGAAATCGGGAAGCCCATCAAACTTTTTTATCGGCCGATACTGAATCGTTGTAATGTGCGCATACGCATAACTCTCCATACTGATTAACAAGCCGACCAAACTATCGGCCGATAGAAAGTCTGCAGTCTGCGGGGGCCCTTAATACGACGGACAATTTCGCAATAGGACAAACCAACATCTCGATAGACAATAATTCTACCCCTGTCAAAGTCGCTAACATGGTCATAATTTGGACGTCTTGGAGCTCGAGGGATTTTGTTATGCTTAATACTAGTAAATGAAAGGGCAATAACTAAAAATCTCTGTACTACTCAGCTCTCAGAAACTGCTTTCTTCACAAAAACCAAGAGATAACATTTTAACAAAGGTAAACAAAAACAAACGTTGACATTATTACCACAGCATGTTTTGAATATAGACATTAAGTTGCAAAAAAAATTGAACAAATGATATTTTGAGGATGTAACACTTCTAAAGTCACTGAGTATATTCAAGTTTTAAGGGCTAATATACGGTTACGTCTATGATGTGTGAAATACGTCTAAGAGGTGCGTAGAATTACCAAGGTTGGGAGCGAATAAATGTACCAAGATCAACAAATTAAGATAAACCCTCCCCACCCCCATACAACATTCTTCCACAAATTTTTTACCTCATTTTTCCCAACTCAACATAATCCTGTGAAACCTTTTAAAAAAACGAGGTCTGAGCGACTTTTATCCTTTTCCTTTTTTGGCCTTTTTCTCGCCGCGACTAGACCAATTTTTAAAAACTACGAAGTTTTTGCGTCCTTGGCATAGTAGTAACATTGAGTAAAAATTTTATCGAAATCTGAGCAGTACTTCTCAAGCTATAGGCGGTTATAATATTAGAGAAAAGACCGACATACAGAGATGGCTTTTCGTGATGAACATGTCATATAACACCCAAAAAACAATATCTCATTTTCGAAATTAGAGATTACAACACTTCCGCGCCAGTAGGAAGCAAGTAGGTCTAAGGTCCGTATAGTCAGTCGTCCCTACAATTGTAGGGCGGCTTTATGGCCTCCTTGATTGTCATAGTTTTCTACTTCTCCGTGTCAGCGCTCTCTTTTGAGGTTATGGCACAAACATCTATTTGCATCAAATTGTGCTTGCTTTTGAGTTATATAATGTTTTATCAGCCTGAAATTTCCTACAATTTAAAAAGAAAACATATCTTTACAATAGGAGAGCCCTGACGCTGACACGGGACAAGTGTAATCTAGAAATTTTTGAAGGAGAGAAAGGAGTATGACAATCAAGGAGGCCATAAACGCGCCCTACAATTGTAGGGCCGACTGACGATACGGGCCTAAGATAATGAAAAAGTGCAAACTGCCCCTATACGTCTAGTGCCGCTCAACTTATTTTATATTCAAGGAATTGCAAAGGTTAAGGGAATACCGTAACGAAGTTAAGGATAAATAGTAAAACTAGTCTTGGACCGCCCATCGGTGTGAAGTAGCGGTGAAATCGTGTATTTGGTGTACGTGCGTAGTATTGAGATAATGGTTGAAGCACCTACACAGAACGCATTACTATTATCTTTTTCACCAGTGTCGATCACGGTATAATAACAGCTGATTATCTAGTAATATTTCAAACTTCCCCATATCGATAAATGGCACATAATTCTGACTGATCCGTCAACGCCAGGTAGACAGCCGTGTTTTGTTTTGTTTTTTGTAGCTACAGATTCATTTTGAACTTGCTAACAAATCTTTTATTTAGGAAAGTTCATCCGCATACTAAAAAAATACTACAAGCATTTACACCCGATCCATTATTGCCAACGTTACAGACAAACACGAAGATGTCACTTGCTGGTCAGCTGTTTACCTCAGTAGCCTTAAAAACGTGATGGATACTCGTGGCAATCACAAATAGCGCATACGTAAACGTTACCATTAAACGTATTTGACTCATAATAAGTCATTGACATCTGATGACCAGAATATTAAATAAGGTTAACGTTTACTCATACGCTATTTGTAATTGCCAAAACTCTATTTCTTTTTCTTTCAAAATTCATACAAGGAATCCACGCCTCAAGTTATGCTACCGAATTCACATAAAAAGGTTGTTGCAACAGCAAAAAATAAACTAAAGCAATTCTCAACGGTAATTCCATTTACGCTGCGTTTAAATACGTAGCTAAGAAAATATTGACAAGTCAATTTCTACATATGTGCTTGGATTTGATCAGTTTCCAGTATGTTATTGATAAGAGTTTTCGACGATGTCAAAAAAGTATCTTGATTAGATGTTCTAGATCTAGACAATAACTTAGCTTCCAGATTCTTCTATGAAGTTTTTGACCTCTTTGCGTACTAATAAACAGTTTTTTTTTTAAAAAAACGGCTTATTTTTCGATATACTACTATTAATTTGTCCATAGGACTTTTGCCCATTAGTCACTGTCTAATGTCAGTCCAGACAATGTCCAGGAAGAAGAGAAAGGGGAAGAGAAGAAAAAAGGAAAAGGAGGAAAGAAAGACAAAAGTGTATCAGTTTAAGAGGAAACACCTGGCCTTTTTAGTTGGTACATGGATTAATTTTAAGGTGAACTAAAGCCAAATTTTGATTCAGGTTTTGTTAGAGTGTAATTTTGGGTTTACTAAAAGTGGTCCATTTTTTATCACAACGCGAGCCGTGACCTTGAATGTTTACGAACTTGCTCCACTGTGTAGTCCACTGAATCACGCAACAGAGGGTTACTTTGTGATTCCGCTTGACTATCACGTTGCTGCGCCTGAAGCTTGACATAATCCCTCAAGTGAAGAATGTCAAGGTCTCTGTGTCATGTCTCATTTGAGACATACCATGGAGCGTTGCAAATTGTTCACAAAGTCCTGCTTTGCAGTACTTGGAGACTTTAAATGTGTGTCTTGGCAAGAAAACACCAAGTCGCAGATGCATAAGTAATGGCTGGTCTAATAATTATTTCATATATTCGAAATTTGTTTATCAAACTCAATTTGGACGATCAAAGGATATAGTTGCCGAAACGCAATCTGGAAATTTGTTTTCAAACGTATGTTTCAGCCAGGTCATGCCTTTATCAAGGGTGACACCGAGATACTTGTCAGAATTTTTCCATGGTATACAATCTCCGTCTCCCGAACCTCAGCTGGAGGATCGCGACATTTTTTGGTACAATATTCTTCGATGTGTGCAGTGCATTTTTCAACTAAAATATGAGGGCTTCCAAGTATAGAGTGTAGGGGTGACGAGAAAATAGATGCGGAGCCGGTAGGAGGAGTACAGGCTAATCTGAGTCGATTTTACTATAGGAAATACTGTCCGAAATTTAGCCGTTTTCGAGTTATACTAATTTACAGATTTTATAAAATTAACTTTCTTGAAACTTTAAAGTCATAAAACTTAAAAATTGGGTGTTTTATCTGTTTTTTTTTGTTTTACAATAAAAATATTCTAAAATACCAAAACTGATACTAAAATGTACATTATTGACCTTATCTCATGTAATAAGCTTCAAAATAGTACAATTTTTGTTAAAAAAAATCTTTGTTAATCTCAAAAACTTCAATTTACTAGAAAAAATTACGTACAAATTTTTCGTACAAAATAATTAGAAAACATTTACGTTCCATGTGAGGTATAAAAATCACAATCGGGTAAGAACTGGCAAAAATATGACTATTATAATATGAGGAAGGGAAAAGCAATAAAAATACTACAAATACAAAATCATACTTTAATACAGATTAATTTGTTTGAAACCACATTTTTTATTTTTATAATAAATTTTCAATGCGGCCCCCTCTATTTCTAATGCACATACATATAGTACGTGCTCTTCTTATCACAGCTGATTTTACTACCGCCGAATTCCTAAGAGAGGCTTGCATTTCTTGTGCTGCATGTATTATCCTGTTTCTGAGGTCTTCTATTGTGGGTACAAGATTTTTATCCGAGTATACTTAAGTTTTCATGCGACCCCATACAAAAAAGTCCATAGGTGTGATGTCGGGACTGCATGCTGTCCATGGAATTGGTCCACCTCTACCAATCCATCGATTCGGAAACTGCTCATTTAACAAATTTCTAATAGTCTGAAATGTACTGAAAAATCGTTCTTTGACTTGTGGCAGCGGCACGTCTTCAAGTGATTCAAATAGAACGTTTCTTAAGAACTTTTCGTAGGCTTCTCCAGTTAAGTTGTCAGGTAGGAACTGTGGTCCTAACAAACAGTTATTTATGATGCCCATCCAGACATTCAGACTAAATCTCCTTTGAGATCCTTTTGGTCTCTTCAAATGAGGATTTCCACTGCACGTTCACGCCAATAGTGAGCGTAATGGTAGTTTGTTATACCGTCTTTATCAAATTTTGATTCGTCGGTCCATAGAATTTTTCTTAAATAATTTCTTCAACATCAGCGTTTAAAATACGCCAAAATTGCGTGCGTCTCATGGCGACTCCTTCCTCTATGACTTGCACGGGTGTGTAGTGGTAAGGGTGGAACATGTTTTCATGCAAAACATACCACACTAGCCATTGGGATAATCCAAGCTGTCGAGCCACAGCGCGAGTAGACAGAGTAGGGTCTATTTCATTTCTCAACCGGTTTGAGACTTTAATATCTCATTTGAAAGGTAATGAAATGAATGAAAACGTAGATGTTTTCCAATTATTTTGTATGAAAAATTTGTGAGTGATTTTTTCTAGTAAAAGTTTTTGAGACGGACAAAGATTTTTTTTAACAAAAATTGAACTATTTTAAATCTGCTACATGTGATAACCTCAATAATGTGCATTTGAGTATCAATTCTGTATTATATTCTTATTGTAAAAAAAATCAGATAAAACACCCAATTTTTAAGTTTTATGAATTGTTTAACGTATAAATGACGTTAATTTTATGAAATCTTAAAAATTAGTGTAACTCGTAAACGGCTAATTTTCGGACAGTAGTTCCTATGGTAAAATCGACTCAGATTAGCCTGTACTATCTCCCCCTACCGGCTCCGCATCTATCTTCTCGTCACCCTGTATAAACAAGTTGTTTCCTACCTATTCCATCATAAGAAGCCCTAATTGGTTATTAGAGACTTTTGGTTGTCACAAATATCGCATACTTAAACGCCTTTTTTTACATTCAACTCAATAATTTATTTGAGGTAGATGTCAAATGAGGTTAACATTAATGTTTACGCGGTATTTGTGACTGCCACAACTATCTCCCCCAGGCTGTCACCAATTCCTTAAATTACATCATGTCGATCAGAAGCTGTTTAAGGAAAAACAATTTTGGGTATCTGAATCTCCGTATGGGAGTATTTTCTACATGAAACTACTAAAAACTCACCATTTATGCAAGGACTGTGGGCAGGATACACGATTGAAACGGAATTGTTACTGTAATTAAAAGCTATGCTGGGACATCCAATGACCTTTACCTGCAAAAAAATGGAAGGCATCATTTAAAATCCTCACTTTCTGAAGTAACTTTATCTTAAAATATAATCGATTCCATAAAAATTGTGCATTCTTCATGAAAATAGAAATAAACACAAAATTAAATCTGTTAAATTGTGTTTATGTTTGTAGTCTGAATGATTGTATCATCTCAAATCACAAAGCACAACTGAAAACATGACAAATTGTTGGCGATTCATTCCGCTCTAACTCTAAATATATATATGACCAGTTCTGATAGACGTATACTTGTCTTAAGAAGTACTTCCAAAATAAAAAGAATACAAATATTATATAAACTTTACATAACTGAGAGGAAAAATCATAAAGCCAAAAGATAAAATGCTCAAATTCAATGCAAAAGAAAAGTTCATAACCGGTGATGGTGGTATGCAGTAATTTTAGCTTATTTATAATGTTGCAAGTAACACGATAACGTCATAAATAGTTAAATAAGCATATCTATACAATTATATGTAACATTTGGTACTAAATACACACATACCTGGAAGTTTAGAGTAGATATATTGAACGTATAACCTGTATAGTTATTTTTAATGAATTTTGTGCAATTCTGTTCATTATAAAGAATGTCAGTATGGCTGACAGTAACATCACGCTCTTTAGCTTGCTCCTTTGGGGGATCATGCACAATATCAACGTCTCCAATTGAGTACTGTGGTTGCTCAATTTTGTGGACACCTGACTGATCTTCCTACAAGAATATATAACCCATTGATATGAGCAACTCAACATTTGCTTAAGTAATAATTGACACTGAAGACCACAATATTGAAGTAATAGCCGCTTTTCACAATCAAATAAATTCAGGAATAAATTGTAGGAAAAATTGATGAATGTATTCAAGGTAACATGTAGCGAAATTATATACTCTAAATGACATAGAAAATGCAACACCTACTAAGAGTGGGTAATTTTGAGCATACTTTTACAAGTTTTAGGTCTACTAATAAATAGAAAGTGACTAAAATGTTAATTCGAAATTTCTCAAAACAGCTGAGATATCCCACCTTAACGTTAACAATGTGTTGAAGCTCCCCAGTTCGCTATACGTTCATTAAGTCGTCGAGGCATTGATTATACAGGGTGGTCCATAAGTCCTTTGAAATTTCAAATTTGAATAAAATTTAACGGGTGAGCGTGAGCGGCGCGGGCGAGGTGGGGGCAGTATCTTCAGTGTCTGGGAATTCAGTCGCCATGGAGTGTTTGACTGGAGCGGATCATGCTTTTTGTGTGCGCGCGTTTTATCAAAATAATGATTCGGCAACCATTGCGCGGCGTAAATATCGAGAATACCACAATTTACACAATTTGACAAAGTGTCCAACAGCTCAAACGATTAAGAACTGGGTTGCTAAGTTCGAAGAGACTGGTTCGACGTTAGATAAACAGCGGTGGGGTCGACCAAGGACAACTCGTATTGAAGAAAACATCAACATTGTGGCACAGTCTGTTCGTCAAAATCCTACCCAGTCTACTCGTAAGCGTTCCAGTGCACTAAACGTACCCAGAACATCTTTACAGCGGATTTTAAGGAAAGATTTACGTCTGCACGCTTACAAAATTCAGTTAGTGCAGGAATTAAAAGATAATGACGCTATTCAGAGACTAAACTTTGCGAATGAAATGTTGAATCGATTTTCTTCGCTCAATAATGTGTTGTTCTCGGACGAGGCTCACTTCCATTTAAACGGGCATGTAAATAAACAAAATTGCCGTTATTGGAGCCCCGAAAATCCAAGGCGTAAGCATCAGAGGCCCTTACACAGCCCTAAAGTTACAGTTTGGGCTGCTATGTCAGCGCATGGCATCGTAGGCCCTTATTTTTTTGAGGACGACGGAGATCGCGCATTAACTGTTACTTCGGAGCGGTATGTAGCAATGATAGAAGAGTTTTTGACACCAGCGTTGCAGAATTTTCCAGGCTATAATACGCAGACCTGGTTTCAACAGGACGGAGCAACTGCTCACACCGCCAACACTTCTATGCCCGTCGTCTGTCAACTTTTTCCCGGCAAAGTAATTTCTCGAAGAGGAGACATTTCCTGGCCACCACGTAGTCCAGATTTGACCCCAATGGACTTCTTTTTATGGGGCTACCTCAAGAGTAAAGTGTACGACACCACTCCGCGATCAGTTGATGTCCTGAAAGAAAATATCCGAAGAGAAATGGCAAGCATTACAGTGTTGACTTGCCGCGCAGTCATCGACAATTTTAGACGTCGTTTATATGAGTGCCTTGATCGTAATGGATTGCATTTAGATGATGTGATTTTTAAAACATAATTCCCATTCAATAAAGATGATAACAAAATATAATAATTCTTCATAATGTAACTAGTTTGGTTTTATTCCTTTTTTTCCAGCTCAAAGGACTTATGGGCCACCCTGTATTAGGTGACTGATGTCTTCTTAGTGTATTATATCCCAGGCCATCTGAATTCGGTTTCGTAGAGCCTCCAATGTTTGAGGAGGGTGGGGTGAATTTTGCAACCTTCTTTCCATCATGTCCCATACATGATGGAGGAAAGGTCTGAGATCGAGGAGGCCACTGAAGCAGATTTACTCAGGACGCTTTTAGAAAGGCTAAACTAACACGTGCGTCATGAGGTCGTGCAATGTCCTGCTGAAAAAGTGGATCCTGCAATGTTTCCAAAAAGAGAAGCAGATGTGGTTTTAAAACTTCTTCGAAATAGCGCTGGGAAGTCATGTTACCTCGAATGAACACTAATCGTGGCCTGCTGCCGTAAGCAGTGGCACCCCATACCACAGTGCGATTAATATGCCGTTCGATGGTCATTCACCACGTCTCCTCCTTACTCTTGCACGTCCATCATGTGTGTCCAAACAGAATCTGGACTCATCGCTGAACACGACTGAGTTCCATTCCATATCCCATTCAAGTCTCTCACTACTCCATATCGTTGCCGACGATGCTGTGGTGTCAGAGATAGCACAAGATGGGGGCGGTATGAAAACAGCCCAAAAGACCTTATTCGGTGATAAACTGTCCTCATTGTTATTGCCCTTCAGACAGCATCAAACCACTGGTTCGCAATTGCCCTTGTGCTAGTTGCCTCAAACAACGATCATGTCGCTAGTCTGTCTTTGACGTCCAGTACGTCTAACTCGTCAATTTCGGCGTTCTTGGAACCACGCTCGAAAACATCTCATTAGAGTAGATTCGTTTGGATTCAACCGATTAGCGATTTCTCTGAAAAAAAAATGCGGCTTCACGTAACCCGATATCCGACCCCTCTCAAACTCGGAAAGTTGAGTGAAATTAGCGCGTCTGCGATCTCTAGGCATGATAATGCAATGAAACAATAAAACAAATGCAACCAACACAGAGAAATCACTGAATATTAAGTAAACATGTTCATATTGTTCGGATCCTGATATGACAAAAAAAGCCTTCACAAAAAAGTACGGCTCGGAATGCCTTCAACATTTTATCAGCGTATACTGCCATGATAGCAAAAACGTTTCATCAAAATTCAATAAATAATTCTGGATGTTGCATTTTATATGTCACTTAGTATATGATCAAATTTATTCAAGTCAAGCATACCAACACATATAGTACCAAGACATAACCTATGTATAATGAACCTAAACGATAAAAAGATGACGGTATACTTACATCGAAACGTGTCAAATAACGAAGGTTGGTACCTAGGGAAAAGGACCAAAAGTAACTTGAATTTCCCAAAAACATTGTCGGAAAATTAGAGCAAGTTCTAATATAGCAATTTATTCATGAATTGATTGTTGTGAAGCAATTGCCAACAATTTTTATGTTTACACGCTCCAACTTCTTCAAGGTTAAAAAACTGTTCAATTTATTGGATCGTGTAAGGCGGCTATAACATAACGATTTTATCAAATAGTTAAAATATAAACCAATTATAAGTTATGGCCAATCTAAAAATGCAACAGAACATTGTACTGGATACAAAATGATAAACACAAATATGTTGCCAAGTAGTATTGCAGTAGTTGAAAATCATTCTTAAACATGACATCAACCTTGTAAGGCTCGGCATCTAAAACGCTTTCTGATTAAAATGTTTCGCATTTAAACGTTTCAACCTACATTCTTTTAAGAGACAGATTTATAGACCTTCGTTGAGGCTTCCTTGGAAATAGTGAAATAATGACGCTTCCTTATAGCAACGTTTCAGGGAGTACTTAAATTTCCATTTCACAGTAGACTGTCATCACAAGCTGTCATCGATGTCAGAAAGATTTTTCTTTGCTGGCTTTATATTTTGATGATACAATCTAGAATCTTTGGCTTATGTGTGCTCTATATCAGTAAACAATGTAAAATAGTAATGTGTTTGCTTCCTCGAATTACAGTGCAATCACAGACAAATAAAAAATTGAACATAGGCAATCAGTTGCACCGAATTGCTCTGCTGCTATAATACCTGAATTTATTTTCAATGAACCCTTAGTTTGTCTAGTATCTCGATCAAACTCATCTTCTCTTTTTATCATAGTCACACATTATATGTACACTGCCACGCAAAACTAACAACACAAACAAAATTTTGTTCAAATTAAATTTTAAATAACTTTTTAAACTTTGCATCAATTTCGTTAATTTTTTCGTCAAGTTGTAGGTAATTTCATTGCCATCATTATCGATTGCCGATCTCGCAAAATAATTGAAAATCTTTGTTGTTATACAGGGTGTACCTAAAAGGTACATTTTGCCCTAAATTTCTGAACTGTGGAAATATTGGATTACTGAATAATGTGTCTTCGTATATCAATTTCAAGCCTCAACTTTTCTCAACAGTTCTTTTTTTGATTCATGTCAATATCTCAATTATTGAAGAATATATGCTGTTTTGAAGAAAATCATGCGAATCATAGCCATAAATAATTTAATTTAAAAAATTACAGTGACATCATTGGTAATTAGAAATTGTTATAAAAAACCAGAATTGCCTTCCCGGGCTAGAATAACAACTCATAAATGTCCGGTTAATTTTACGTGGCAGTGAAATTCATTTTAATATAAAATTTGGGCATGAAATGTTTTTTTTTGTGAAATACTGTAGTACTTGAATCTGAATCGTAATCTACAATCAGCAACCAGCAGTTACTTGTAACTGGTTGCCTATATTCAGTTTTTTACCTCTCTGTGATTGCACTATAATTCGAGGAAGCAAATACATTAATATGCATTGTTTATCGATTTTTAGCACAAATAAACCAAATCGTCCCAATTTTATCATCAAAATGCAAAATAGATACGGTCAACAAAGAAAAATCCTTCAACGACATTGTAAGATCAATTAATGACGGGGTTCCCAACCTACGTCCCATTAGATCAGATTATAATGCATCATTCAGTGAGTTTAGAACAATAAGCATAATCGTCTCAAGAAGATTATATAAAAAATTAAATCAAGTCAAAATAAGAGGGAGATTTGGTCTAAATGTGTGATTAATGAATGTTTTGATAATATTGTAAAATTCATATACAGATGATACATAAATACACATACCAGATCAAAATATAGACACTGCTTTAAAAATGCTAAATCCTAACTTGACAAAAATGATAAATTGGTTAAATGTAAATACTGTCACGGTTAGGATAAATAGTGGAATAATTGAAAATGTTGAATCAATTAAATACTTAGGTATGTATATTGATAGTAAACTATAGTTTGAGGATCACTATGAATACATTATTTCAAAAATTGCGAAGAAATGCTTTTATAAGGCTTATATTTATACGTATATTATATTATAATACAATTATTCTACCGAATTTACTATATTGTTCAACTATCTTGTTCACTGTCAATGAAGCTGTATTCTCAAAATTAAGTCATGCAAAATAAAGCGGTGAGAATAATATTGAATACAAATAAGTACACCAAAATAAAATCTAGGTTAGAAGAAATGTAGTGGTAGAATATAAAGGATTTTGTATTATATTTGGTTCTTATTTTTATATTTAAAATAAAAAATATTTTTGCCACAACATTTAGAATTGAATAATCATTACCACAATTATTATACAAGAGGAAATATAGATTTTCATTTACAAAATTGCAATAGTAATACAACTAGCAAATCAATATTTCAGAGAGGATTACTTGAATTTAATAAACTAAATAATGATATAAAGTCTACTTGTAATTTAAAGATGATTAAAAGAAAATTAAAGGAATATTTCATGGACAGTGAAAATTCTTAGAGATGCAAATTTTGTTTTTTCTAAATATCTGTATGTTATGTAAGTGTTTAGTTTTTTTAAAGAATGGAATTGTATCAATCATGCTAAATAAATCTTAAACAAAATAAAAACAAACATCAATAACAGCTTGTGATTACAACGGTTACAGCCTATTGTGAAATGAAAAATTAAATCCTCCCTTGAACGACCCTCAAAGAAGCGTATTGTTTCACTGTTTCCATGGAGAGAGATCCATTGTTTTCCAGGAAGCCTCAAGGAAGGTCTATAAATCTGTCAGGACAAGATCTCGATCACTGTTTGATAGGACCACATATCAAGTATTCAAATCACGAATCAAAATAAGGCATCAAACTAGCAGAATAATCCAAAAATTGAAAAAATATTTCAAATTGCAATCCTATGCTTAATGTGCACTAAGGAACAAATACATCTGTAACTTGAAGGTAAAAGTTAGACTGTAGCGCTGCAAATGGAAGACTCGGAATAAGCAGGACATGCGGAACACATCAAGATATTTAAAACTAATACTAAGGATACGTGAAAATTGTGAAAAGTTCTCTACAAAAAATGTTTCCTAATGGAAATACATGTAACCGATTTCGAAGAGAAAGACGTAAACGTGTAATCGTCTCAAACATTTTCTAGGGCAAAAACGTTTGAACGATTTTTGAGAAAACGTTTAGGTAGATGAGAGGGTTACTATACGTTTTTTAACACATTGATACCTAATATAATGCAACTTCGAACTCATGACCCACAGCGCTAAACAACAAGTTAAATGTAAAGTATACAATACTTATTACGTGAAAAGTGACAGTAAGGGTCGTATCGTCAGTCGTTCCTACAATTGTAGGACGCCTTTATGGCATCCGAGATTTTCATAGTTTTCCCCTGTTCCGTGTTAGCGCTCTATTTTATTTGTTACAAATGTCTATTTGCATCAAACTGTTCATGTTTTTGATTTTCATCAGCTAGACTATGAAAATCAAGGAGGCCATAAAGGCGTCCCACAATTGTAGGAACGACTGACGATTCGGCCATAGATAATAGCTCATCATCTAGTAATATTCCAAAATTCCCCATACCGACAAGTGACACACAATTCTTACGTATCTGTCAACGCTACATCTGTAGACAAAGTCTTATTTTGTTGTAGTCTCTTGTACGATACGGTTTCATACTTCCTAACAAAGTATTTATTTAGAAAAGTTTAATTAAATGGCTGCTAATGATCCGTATATATTTCAAGTCAGGTAGGAGCAGGAATAGAACAAGATAAACAGTTTTTGTGTTTTGACCATTTATAAACCCAGATTTACACCTGATTCATTATAGCCAACACTTTAGACTTTAATACACATCAGTTGGTGATCAGTAGTTTTTATCTCAGTAGCCGTCAAATCGTACTGGAAATAATAAATGAAAAAGTAATTTAGGAATGTAGTCTCAGTCCTGATGACCGACAGCACCAAGGTGACTGACGCGGGAGAGAAAGCGTTTAACCTTCCACAGATCAAACGTTTAATGTCGAGCTCTACTTGCAACCTTCCTCAATTATTCATACGACTTCGTATTATCATAACTTCTTCACGACGGCAAACGAAATTTCATATCCTGCGGTAACACTTTCAGGGGTATGAACATTGGCGCCTAAAGACACATACATAGTTGTAAGTTTCAGTGTCTGGCGTCGTCACGACCTATGTTGGCTCAAATACGGCTTCAAGATAACTTCCTTCTGTAGCCACACGGCTTCTTCCATTCCTCATAGCAGTGCTGGAACACCGTAACTGGAATAGCCTTCAGCTGGTCGGTTACAGCCGTTTGATTGTCCCAAAATGGGTTCCCTTGAGGTGATTTTCCAACTCCAAGAAGAGAAAAAAGTCACAAAGAGTCAGGTCAGGCGAATAAGGAGGCTGAGGAGCCACATGTATGTGTTTAAAGGCCAAAAACTCGTATATGGACATTAATGTGTAACAAGGAGCATCCTCGTGATGTAACACCCACTTGTTTTTGATCTGATGTAGAATGGTGTGAGTCAAATGAAGCTCATTCTGACTGTGAACCGACGATCTATACGCATAAGATCCCGGATTGTCGATATTTTCTTCTCTTCTTGAAGATGAAAGCCTTCCGCTTCGTGGTTCATCTTCAATAGACTTCTGAAAATGCCTCAAACTACCGAAATACTGGGCTCTTGACAAAACACTATCTCCATAGGCCTTCTGAAGTTTAGCGGGACTTTCTGTTGCGCTGTGCCCAAGTCTGAAGCAAAACCTGATAGCACACCGTTTGTCACGTGCTAAAATCACGTAACCTTTTTTTACTATTTTGATCACGTACTAGTAACTTGAATTCCTCTTTTTTAATTTAGTCCATTCTTAGGCCAAACCCCTTTCAATGATTTTCTTTTGGTAAATTTCATAGATTACTGATCGTATAATTTCACACCGTATTATATCTTTCTTTCTCAGTGATTCAGTAGTGTTGAAAAAAAAATTCTGTGGTTTTTGTCCGTTATTTGGTTTCTTATCGAACATATCTTCTTCAAGGCCACTCATTGAACCTTTCTTTATAAAGTTAGGTGTTTCGTGTTAGCACTTTCCTCCTGAGATTGTAGTGTGAGCGCCATTTGTTTAACCTCCAGATTCTGGGATATTAGGTGCCGAACACCAGTTTGTATTGTATCTTACGTTTAGTTGTTTTGGTTTGGGAGCTACCCCGTCCATTTTCTTATGGGAGTTGAATCTTCAGCGTGGGAAGGCACGACACTCTCCTCCAGCTTTGTTTGTAGCTGTTTTGCAGCTCATATTGCCAGAAGCCACCCCTTCTCATTTTTAGTACGCAATAGAAAAAACTGTTCACAAGAAAAAATCCCTATGGACAACCAAATAACACGAGCGACATTAAACTGGTAATGAAAGCGGATCACACGTTCCCCTGTATCCTCTTCAAACTCGGCGCCTCTAGTGTTGCCAGATGAAACGCTACGTCGCCAGTTTCATAACTTAATTTACAGACCTCGTATGTTAGTTAATGATCGAACTCACAATCTCCAGACTGTGACAAGCATAAATGATTGATTCGCTACCTTACACTGACGTTTTCTCGCATTTGGTGATAGAAAGTCCTGCAGTCAATTGCTTGGGGCCTTTGGGTTGGACGCTTCTAAATTCAAATTTGAATTCCCATTTGTGTTGACTAAATTCCGGCTTGCATCTCATCGAAAACTTAAGTTTTAAAAAAAATATATATGACGAATACTCACGTTTCGACAAGCTTTTGAAGTGACAAATGGCACATATAAAATACAGTTCTTGATCCTCCATTCCTTCCGATTTACAAAATGTTCGTTATTTTCAATATCTGTTTCGCACTGTAGCTCTATTAATGTTCTATTGAACCCATCAGCTGACTGACATGTTCGATTCAGTTGGATATCTATATATTTTTTTCCTTCGTGAATGAACAGCACATTTTTCGGTTGGGCGTATATGCATTCTGAAAACATTGATATGATTAATTGTAGTCATTTATTGTTAGCAACATAAGTAGGTATTCATTTCTATGGATTTTCAAGCAAGATATGTATACAAAAATATGATGATTACAAATATGCATTATTTTTCGTAACAACATCATATTTTTCTATTATCTCAATATATGAAATGATATTTTAAGAGAAGTCTTACTGTCACTAGAACACTTTCTAAGTGATCCCGTTTTGCAAATGTCAAGATAATATGTATTATCGTTATCCTTCTGCACCAGCTCCAACATATTTCTTTCGGACTTTTCCAGTTCAACCCTAAAAAGGCATTACATGAGAAAAAATGACGTCAAGTAGCATGACTCTGCACCTCACATGCAACGCCATCATCAGTTCATAAAGGATTGTGTTCCTATTGAAATAAGATAGCGCCCTAGACGTTATATCTTGTCAAAAGTGTCATTTGTACTTGAAAAACGTCACCGTTGGGATGGAAACTTTGTACGATAGAGGGAAACTTCAAATATACGGGGTGTTAATTACGTATGTACCATACATTTAACAGAATATTCTTTTAGACAAAAAGTTTATACATCTAAACATGGTCCGCAAATTCTTCGTTCTCAAGGTACAGGGTATTAAAATAAGAAAAAAATGTTTTTTCGTAAATATCTTAAATACCCTTTACCTAATTTTGTTCTAATTTGGTGGTGGTCCTTATAACATTAAGCAGGGGTGCTGGCGGCTCAAGGTATGAATTTAAGTGATAAAAGTGAGATTTTCAAAAACAGTAGTGAGATAATAGTGTATTTAAAAGAGTGTGTTAATTTTCTGAGAAATTGAATATAATAATGACAAATTTAAACGGATAATATAAATAATAAAAATATTTGAGTAAGTAAAAATAATTATTCTTACGTATGCATATTTTAAGATCATATGCTCACGATGCATAAAAGAAATATAAAAAATATAACAAATTGGGAGACGCACTTATATCTATTAAGTATTCTTGCCTAATTGATTGAACCTACATTTTAGAGAACTAATGTTAAAAAGTTGAAATTTCATATAGTTATATATAACTTAATCATCAGACCGTAAGACCAGAGTACTTGCCATTAGGAATCAAGCAAGGCTATATTTCCTAGATACATTATCAGATGATGTTCATGTCATAATAATATTGCATTGTCAATTGTCATACTAAACGTCCGCCATATTGGATTAGAATGACGTCACTTTGCTTATTGCGTTTCTTTCATCAATCCCTTTCATTTGATATCCACAACGTGGGGGTGACTATGGAAATTATAAATCATCATTTTGCGGCCATATTAGATTTAGAATAACGTCACGTTATATGTGTCATCAAGCCGTTTCAGTTGATAACCACATCATAAGGGGTAACTATAGAAATTATAAACTCCATCTTGCGGCGGGCGACATATTTGATTTGACCTGACATATTGCTTATTCTGTTTCTCTCAAGCGCTTTCATCTGATGCCTATATTATAGGGGTGGCTATGGAAATTATAAATCGCCAAATTGCTGCTTCAGACATATTGGATTTAAAATAACGTCACTTTGCTTATTGTGTTTCTCTCATCAAACTCTTTCATTCAATACCCACATCATATACTATGAAAATCATAAATCGCTATTATGTAGCATACGACATATTAGATTGAAAATGGCGACAGTTAATTCATTATGTCAGGCACGCATACATTTTAGCTACATTGGTTGAGGTTGATTGATTCAAAATTCGGTTTCAGGATTTGTTTCCACATCAATACTAATGAACAAACATAGTAACAGTTACTTGTACGTACAAGGCTTGTAAAAAGTGACACGGCAATGCAATCGGTTCAGGGTGAATTCGTATTTTATGACTGCCTAAAAATACTCTGAATTGTCAAACTATCTAAGTAACATTTTATTGGTTACCTAAATGCGCAACTTTGCTTTCATAACCGATTTTGTATTGTATTGCTTACCGTTTCCGAATTTGAACTCCCTACTGCATATATATATAATACAATTAATTGTTAATTGGGAAATTGGCAAATTTTTAGGCTTGAGTTGACTCTTTTGACGATAAAATCAAGCTTTCGGCATTCTCTATGGAGCCTTCATCAGGATTTCGTCGTTGAGGTTGCAGCCACAAGGTGTTTCAAAAAGAACGTAGAGAAGATAGAACTCGTAATAAGTATAACAACAAAAAGACGGAGACATTGGGCTTGTTGATAACGACAGAAACCTTCGTTACATGTTAAGAATATCAAAAACACCCGAACATATTAAAAATTATTACACGTGAGAAGACATTTTAGGGCATTCCGATTGTTTCACTAAAATGTCTTCTCACGTGTAATAATTTTTAATATGTTCGGGTGTTTTTGATATTTTTAACATGTAACGAAGGTATCTGTCGTTATCAACAAGCCCAATGTCTCCGACTTTTTGTTGTTATACTTATTACGAGTTCTATCTTCTCTACGTTCTTTTTGAAACACCTTGTGGCTGCAACCTCAACGACGAAATCCTGATGAAGGCACCATAGAGAATGCCGAAAGCTTGATTTTATCGTCAAAAGAGTCAACTCAAGCCTAAAAATTTGCCAATTTCCCAATTAACAATTAATTGTATTTTGTGCCCAACTGGTCGTTGGCTTTGGCAATGACTAGTGCTCATATATATATACAGGGTGACTTCGAAGTTGAGTCATTTATTTTAACAGTGAGTAGATCTGATCAAAAGAAATGTTTTTTCCTTTACCATTTTTCTGGTAAAATTAAAGTAACAAAGTTATAGCCCTTTGGAAGTTTGAGTACCGCCCTGTCTCAATAATAATATCATGTACTCGTGTTTGGCAACAACGGATATAATCCGCCTTACCGGTTCATCGCATCGGAAACAAAAAAGCGAAAGAATTTGGAACGATGTTTTTGCAATTAAGTATTTTATTCAGTTCAGTTATACATACAGTCAGTGTCTGTCGGTTAGCGTGTGAATAGTGTCTGTTGCGTGGATCAAACGAAATAAAAAATGGCACATGTTTATGCGGATCGGTTTCCCAATCGACTGCAACCAACCCCTCGTGCCTTTGTTAATGTAGTACAACGGGCTCGTGAATCAGGTGACTTAAGACCTCACAGGGGACCTCACGATCAAATACAGGTCCGCACTGAAATACTTGTCGGGAGGATACTTTATAAAACAAGGTAAAATTTTTTTTTAATTTTACACACATATTCTGGTTTATCTTCCTTCTACAATCATTATCTGAAAATTAATGACTCAACTTCAAAGTCACCCTGTATATATATATATATACTACTTTTAGCAAAGCTGAATTGAAATTCAACGTAGATTTCATCTAATCCTAGTAATTTCTCATGTAATACAGATTGGCTCAGCTTTGGGACATAGTTAATTTTTATAAAAAAAAAATCACTTCATTCAATTACGTGGGGCTTGAGAGAACGAGGACAGCTCCTTCGAATACGTCCATAAACTACAATATGTAAAGCGAGAGCGAAAATTATGGGAAAAGTGAATGATTTCAATGAAAAGTGTATTGAGGAACTAATTTAGCCCTAACTTAATTTTATTAAATTTATTAAATCCAGTGGCGTCTCGAGCGGGATCTGAACGAATATTTGTGACAAAAAAAATGTACACTACTAACTTTTGTGCAATTTCGCATTAAGCAAATAGAAATACAACTTTTTTGACTATTGATTTTTTTTGTATCGCGACTAGTTTTCGAGAAAAAAAATTCCACTTAATTGCATATTCCTGGACCACACAAGGAATATGGGGTAGAGTTTCTTTTGGTAATTATTTTTTTATTACTAATTATGTATCAACAACAAATAAACACTAAATTAAATTACATTACATTTACATCTAAGCTAATGAATTTTATTATACTAAGGAATAGTAAATGATAATCAAGGTTTGCCCTGGAAAACGATTGCAGCTTTTAATAAACAACTTGATAGTCGTATTTATAAGCTAGTTATTTATAATTTTTATAATAAGTTTTTTTAGTGATTATTTTTGTCCAATACGGTTCAATTTACTAATAGTGCGATGGCATATATGCATTTCTGTTATGTAATGGCTCATGGAAACTCTAATGCTGCAAGACGCATTTATCATTAAAGATTTATTCCGCGTGTAGTGCTTGATAGAACTGTTGTACGTCTCCATGCACGAATTTCCGAACCAGGCAGCTTTAAAAGATCGAAGGTTTTTAACACCATATATCTTGAGACTGAAGAATTTGCGGACCTATGTTTATACAGGGTGCGGCAGAGAGGATGGACGGTTGTAAAAAAATCATAAAATAGTTAATTTTTACTCGAAAACAAATTTATTGATGGAATCAGGTTCACAAGGAAATAGCATTTGAGACAGTCAAGTGTGGAAAATCACATCAGGCATGTGGTGGCCGAAATCGTTGATGCAGTGCTGGAGGCGTTCTTGGAAGTTCGCGTAGACTCTCTCCAACATCGCTATCTCAACTTGGGCGACTTCCACGCGAATTTCGCCCTTCAAGTCGTCCAGAGTTCGGGGCATGTTCGCGTATACTCTAGCCTTGAGGTGTCCCCATCAGAAAAAATCGCATATGGATAAATCTGGGAAGGTTCTCATTTTGATCGATCAGTGCTTCCATCTCACGTGCGAAGTTCATTCGTTGTGCATAATCTCCGGGCTGTAACTGTTGCACAATGGCCAATTTGTAGGGGTGAAAGCGGAGATCCATATGCAAAATTCGCCTTACCGAACGATCACTAAGGCGAAGTGCAGCAGCATGTTTCCGGGCAGATCGAGTCGGACTGTGAAGAAAGATCTGTCGAACGCGTTCAACATTTTCAGGAGTTCGAACTGTTCGCGGCGCTCCTCTTGGTCTTCTGTTGATCAGTTCACCACGCCTGCGAAGCGATTTAACCCAACGAAGGATGGTGTTTCGAGAGAGAACAGCTCTATTCCGATCAATGTTGAAGTGGCGACCAAACTCACGCTGTACGACGATGACTGACTCATTATTTCGGTTGAAACAATCATAGGCGAAAACGCGGTGCTCCACCGTCCAAGGCTCCATAACGACAACTGGTAAAATAATGCTAGGATCTCACGAGTCAAACGGTACCCTCCCCACCTCTCTCGTAGACGGATTCGGAGAGTACTAACCATCCCAAAAACGTCCGTCCTGTCTGCCGCACCCTGTATGAACTTTTGGTTTTAAACTTACTCAAAGAATTGTCTGTTAAATATATGGTACATACCTAAATAACACCATGTATATGTGGTTTGTTTCGGCGAAACAAACATGAGGGGCTAACAGCATGAAAACCACAGGATAAGTTTCAGATATTACATTAACCCAGAGGATAGTTGCTATGTTCGTTGTCCCAGATACCAAGCCTAAAACATGGTGATGAGCCACCAAAAAAGTGCGAAACATTTGTCTATAGTTGGCTATCTTAGAGAAAAAAGTTAGCTACGAACATGTATAACAGAGAAATTAAACGAATCAAGACCGTCAAACAGGTTCAAAAGTCTCTTCGATAGTATTGATGACTTTTGTTTGTTGTTTGTGATGTACAGAGTGCGGCATGAGGACGGATGTTTTTGGGATGGGTAGTACTCTCCGCCTCCGTCTACGAGAGAGGTGGGGAGGGTGCCGTTTGACTCGTGAGATCCTAGCATTATTTTACCAGTTGTCGTTATGAAGCCTTGGACGGTGGAGCACCGCGTTTTCACCTATGCTTGTTTCCTCCGAAATAATGAGTCAGTCATCGTCGTACAGCGTGAGTTTCGTCGCCACTTCAACATTCATCGGAATAGAGCTGTTCCCCCTCGAAACACCATCCTTCGTTGGGTTGAATCACTTCGCAGGCGTGGTGAACTGATCAACAGAAGACCAAGAGGAGCGCCGCGAACAGTTCGAACTCCTGAAAATGTTGAACGCGTTCGACAGATCTTTCTTCACAGTCCGACTCGATCTGCCCGGAAACATGCTGCTGCACTTCGCCTTAGTGATCGTTCGGTAACGCAAATTTTGCATATGGATCTCCGCTTTCACCCCTACAAATTGGCCATTGTGCAACAGTTACAGCCCGGAGATTATGCACAACGAATGAACTTCGCACGTGAGATGGAAGCACTGATCGATCAAAATGAGAACCTCATTTTGTTTATGAGTGACGAAGCCCACTTTCACTTAAACAGCATGGTTAACCAGCAGAATTGTCGTTATTGGGCTAATGAAAATCCGCAACAGTTACACGAAAGACCGCTACACAGGCCAAAAGTAACGGTTTGGTGCGCTGTATCGCAAACTTGCATCATTGGTCCTTACTTCTTCGAAGACGGTAATGGTCGTGATGTTACCGTGAACCCAGAGCGCTACGTCGACATGATCACCAACTTCTTTCTCCCTGAATTACGATGGCGACGTGTTTCAATCCGATGTGTGTGGTTCCAGCAGGATGGGGCGACCGCCCACACAGCCCGAGCATCTATGGACGTTATTCGACCTCTCTTCGCTGGTCGCCTTATTTCCAGGTTTGGCGATGTTCATTGGCCTCCCCAGTCCCCAGATTTATCCATATGCGATTTTTTCTTATGGGGACACCTCAAGGCTAGAGTATACGCGAACAAGCCCCGAACTCTGGACGAATTGAAGGGCGAAATTCGCGTGGAAGTCGCCCAAGTTGAGAGAGCGATATTGGAGAGACTCTAGGCGAACTTCCAAGAACGCCTCCAGCACTGCATCAACGATTTCGGCCACCACATGCCTGATGTGATTTTTCACACTTGACTGATTATTTTGAAATAAGGTCAGGAAAAAATAAAACCGATTTTGGGATAAATCTGGTATACAAAAGAAATTACTATAATTTCAACGCCTACCTAGGAAATTCTGATTTTTTTGAAATAACTTAAGTTTGGCAATGTCAATGTATGACATATTATACATTTCTGGAATTAAAATAAAAAACTATTCTATCTATATAAAAATCCATTATGGCCTCCATAAGAAAAAATATAGTTAATGCTGGAGGACAAGAGACGAAACGTCATATTGAAATTTCAATCATGCCATCTTGTAGAGGAGAAAAAGTGGCAATGTTAATATTCAATTTTTTTTGAAATCCTACTACAAATAAAGTCAGGAAAACATTAAAACTATTTTGGGAAATTGCGTTTTATTTTCGTCTCTCCCCGTCAGTACTTTGAATTTCAAAACTTGAAGCGGCTTCGTATCTCTTACGGTTTCCGAGATCCCAATGGTGACGGTCAAATTTGAAACACCCTGTATACGATTCACTACCTCTAATTTCGGACATAAAATATTTTTTAAAAACGTACGCAACCACGATGTATCACTTATATTCTATATATTCTATAGCATATTAATTTCAAGAGTTACCACTTACGGGTAAGTTGTAGAGGGGTCTTGGAATATGCACTTTGCACCTTTGACTGACACACTCTGATTCACACAGGCATATTTGGTCTTGAATACGAATTCAAAACTACAGTTCGTTTTGTTTCTGAGAAAAGGTGGTTCCTAAAATGGACAATATTAAAGCTTAAGTATATTAACAAAAGACATTCCCGTTACCAGACTATTCAACTAACAAATTAATAAAATAAACGGTTTTTATTCACAACATTTACAATAAAGTTTGACATGTTCCTTATTTCTCAAAAAAGAGCAAATTATACGAACAACAATAACCTAACGCATCTATCTGCATTATTCAAGCGTAAAATATGTATTTCGAGTGCTGTATTCCTATAGGTTAGGCGCATCCACTTGGCATGATGGATCGATCATGAATAGTGATGCCTAACGCGGCGACATCATGTCAAGACATAGCGTCATAGCGTATTTGTTATCCAAACGCGCAACATAACCGCATGGAGAACAAAGCACATTTTTTTCATCTTAGTCGAACGTCGACGTGCTATCAGTATAGTTGTTATTATAGACATGATGACTATTACTAGATGACAAACCTCCCCACAGATGGTTTACAAACGTAGTTTTATATTCTACTTCAGCGCGTAATTTGTGATTAGTTTCGTTAGTTTGTTATCTGGTACGTTTCAAATAAGTCTCTGTGTGAAATATAATTACAAAAGACCAGTGAATTGAACATTTAAATATGGTGTATCGTGCAGTCGTGGGTTGTTCAAGCAACATCAAGAAAAGTAAATATCTTTCAAGTTGGCGTTTCAAGAATAAGCAAGTTTGTCAACAACGGGTTCTGAAGTGAAGTTGAAAAGTGACGCACACCGTTCCTTAATTTGATCGGTATAAAATAAATTAATCAAGCACTGGATGTGGTAATATAACTAGAAGTACAAAGTGAAAATGAAGTAGACAAGGCTTTATTTGAGCAAAATAAAATTTTTAATGAAACGGAAAAAACCATACAAAATCTTAGAAACGTTGCATCTAACACCTTGTTACCATTTCAGCGAGGTATAATAATAAGTATAAAGTCTTTGGATCAACTTTTTATTGATATGAAAGATTTTTTACATAAAATATTTATTAACATACAATTTGAATCAGGATCGCTTAGAAAGTCTTTTTTTCACTATATGAGCAATTGGAGGGTTATGTGATCATTCCACTGCTCTACAGTTTAGATATACTCCTAGTTTAAGAAACTATTTTATGAGCGAAACGATAAGATTTTTTCCAGATCAGCAAATACTGCAGAATAAGGGACGTTCCAAATATTGCTATTGAAAGTGTGAATGATATTTCGGACCTTGATGTATTCTAAAAAGATGTTCATAAGTTTGAATTTGTTACTGGACCAAAGTTTGAGGTCTTAAATTAACCCAATGATATTGAACATGTTGATCAACTTCAGTCTGATGTTGAATAAATAATTGAGGAATACGTTCAAGAACTAGAGTGGGATAGTAAATTCAGAACAAAAAATCTGGCAGCAATGAAATATCATGTTCCTGAGTAAAAATCTTTCCGAAGGTGGCTTACTAAAACCAAACTCAGATTTTCTAATTAAATATAATGAACTCGATCATATTTTCAAATATTTCAACACAGGATCATTAAAATTCACCAAGAATTATTTAAAATCGTTAATGTGTCCAGCCACGCCTGTTAGTGTTAATGCAAATGCCAAACATGTTTTATTAGAAATTGTAAAATAAATTCAACAAAAGTATTTACCAATAAGTAAGTTCATTTATTTGGAGCTTTAAAGAAATTTCAGTTTAAAAATCTACACAGAGGTTCAAAATAAACGCAACAAGCCACCATTTTGGTCAAATTCGGATCGTTATAGTTTTTTTTTTATTTTAACCTCGATTTTATTGATTTTTTTTTCGGCAGGCAGTAGGTACACTCATTGGTATTAATGTGTACATATGAGGTCTTGATTGTAGTCACGGTTTGCCTTGTTGTACAGGGTAAATCAAAATGATGTTTCATTACTTCAAGTTTGAGTTGTCAATCAGCCCTCAATGCTTTCCATGATCAAGTACCACATTTTCTCTATAATCTGTTTTTTTTTTTATTCACGTCAATATACCGGGTGTCAACGAAATCGTTTTACAAGGCACTATTCAATTGCTGTTCAAAGAAGAACCTTGAAATTTTGTGTGAAGATAAGACTTATAAAAACTCATATTATCCATTAAAACACAACTGAATATCGCTTCCGTTTTTTTTATACTCCAACAAATAGGACCCTGTATATATTTTTACATATTTGTATAGAGCTTTTTCAACAATGTATCACAAGTTGTCATTCTTTTTCAAAATGGCGGCATAAATGGCATTTATACCAAATTCAATATGACAGTATCTATGGTTTTTTGCCAAACTACCAGCTAATTTAAGAGGCAAAATGGATTCTCTTGCCGCTTCTACAATGAGTTAGCAAAACAAAAAAATTGTCATAAATTTGGGAACATTTTTGTTTTTACTTAAAATGTCAAAATGTATTTGAAATTTTCTCAGAATTTTGAATAGGAAACGGAGATTTCTAAATGCTAACAATGAAGAGAGTCTTATTTCCGAAAGAAAAATGCTCAACAGTAATTTTTTTGCTTTTTTTTTATTTCTAACGATAACAAGAACAATAACGGACATTAGCATAGTAAAAACTAAGTAACAAAAGTAACTAAATAACAAATAACAGATAAATTACTAATTACATAAACTGACTCTCTTTATGTTTTCTATAAGCAATTTTCGTAAATGTTCTTGAGATATGTTTTCAATGGTTGTTCTAATTCTATTTTTCAGTACTTCTAGAGACGCTGGAGGAGTGGCATAAACTTTTTCTTTTAGATAACCTCAAATTGAAAAATCCAGAGGGGTTAAACCTGGCGACCTTGCAGGCCAACGGATTGGTCCGTTGGTACCTAGCCAATTTCCACCGAATCGCTCATTTAAGTAATTAAGTACAATCCTATTTGGTTTTGTAAAAATTCCAAGTACATATCACCATTTAACGGTTGATAGAAAAATATAGAACCAATGATATTAAGCCCTGCTACGCCTAAACAAAGGTTCACATCCCTACATTAGTAAACCTGGATTCACCCGAAAAAATAATATGGTGATGGCTGACAGCATTTATGTTCAGTTTATTCAAAAACCAGTTGCAATAATTAAGCCATCTTGGAAAATCATTTTCAAACAGATGGTGATTTGGTTCTTAGATTTAAAGCCATGTTTCTTTGGCACTAAGACCTTTATTTCGACTTCTTCGCTTACTATAAAAGCATTAACATTAACAGGATCGTTGTCTTAATTTTTCAAATGTTCTACGAGCCGAGGATAATAGGCGTGTGATGGAGCTTGACGATCTGAAAATCGCTCCTAATATAATCTTCCGGCGCGCCTCGAATTTTTGTTGGCATTCACCATAAATTCATTAACTTTGTAGAAGTTAACTACTAAATTGATTTCAAATGAAATAAACAAATAAAATAAAAAATATTACACAATAAACGATGCCGACGCGTGGAAACGAGACTCGACAGTTGAGAGTAATTTTAAAGTGTTCCCCGTTCATTTGTTTCCAAAGCATCCCCAGATCTCCGTGCAAACCAGTCAAATATTCGTCCCTGTTGATTATTACAATTCTGGCTTTTTAAAATAAAGAAAAGATAACAAAATAATTGTAATAAAAAATGAAAATCATAGATATTTTCTGTCACGTGAGTAGGTAAATACCTATTAACTGTGCTTAGGTCATTACAAATACTAAATTTCTAATAAGTTACAATTCATGATATAGCTCTCCAAAATTTTCCAGGTTTTTTCCTTATAGTGGACATTTTTTAGAGACAATCCGACATACTTTATTAGTAGTATTTAGAAAACACCGCTTTCTATTCAAAAGTCTGAGAAAATTTTAAATACATTTTGACATTTTAAGCAAAAATTAAAATAGCCGCAATTTTTTTTGTTTTGCCAACTCAATGCAGAAGTTGCAAGAGAATTGATTTTACTTCTTATTTCAGCGGCCAGTTTGGCAAAAAAAGGTATTGTCAAAACGCCGCCATATTGAATTTGGCGTAAATGTCATTTACACCGCCATTTTGAAAAAGAATGACAACTTGTGATACATCGTTGAAAAGGGAATTTTTAGCTTTATAAAAATATGTAAAAATATATACAGGGTTTTATTTAAAATTATTGTTTCATACTCACTTCCGGTTAAACCGGAAGCGATATTCAGTTGTTGGATAATCTGAGTTTTTATATGTCGTATCTTCACACAAAATTTCAAGGTTCTTCTTTAAACAACAATTGAATAGTGCCTTGTAAAAAAATTTCGTTGACACCCGCCGGTATACAGTAGTTGAAGTTTTAGAGGCAAATGGACATTTTACCAGCAATTTTTCTTCCTCCTTTCATAATTTTTTTAATTCCCGTACGAATTCAATAAGTTTTCCACCTAATTGTTTAGAAATGTCTGCGTTAGGTTCACTTTGTTTGAAATCGCCATTGATGTTGTTTATATACAGTGGCGAAGAAAACGAAAACATTTGACTTAACTTAAGAACACGTTGCATAATAATTTCACACTCTACCCTTTTGAAGTACAGCGTCAGGGTAATAACCAGATAACTCCCTTATCATCCAATTTGGTGTTGCATAAAGTTCTAGCGAGGATTGTTCTTTTGCAACAAAATGAACGTAATACAACAGTTTATAAATTTTAATCAGTATTACACTCTTCAGATAGGCGCCTTCTAGTCGTTCTCGAGTGGAATATTTATTCTAGATAAAATTTACTAAATGCAACACCGACTAAGAGTGCTATAAATTTTGTATAAAGGGAAGCAGATGTGGTTGTAAAAATCGTGGATACAGCGCTGGGCAGTCTTGCTACTCCGAATGAACACTAATTGTGAGCTGCTGCCGTAAGCAATGGCACCCCATACCATAACAACCACAGTGCGATGAATATACCGTTAGAAGGAATATTTCACCACGTTTCCTCCTTACTCTGGCACGGCCATCATGTGTGCCCAAATAGAGTCTGAACTCATCGTTGAACATGATTTCCATTCCATATTCCATTCAAGTCTCTTTCTACTCCATACCAATCGTTGCCGACGATGCTGTCTGGTCAGAGGTAGTACAAGATGGGGACGGTATGAAAACAGTCCAAAATACCTTATTCGGCGATAAACTGTTATTGACCATCAAACCACTGGTTCGCAACCGCCCTTGCTGTGGGAATCCGATCCCTTA